GAAAAAGTAGAATGAACTTTCGAAATCCTAAACATAATCAGACCAAAAATCCCTAATCTAATTAAATTACTAAAACCACTTTATTCAAGCAGAGTTTTTGTTTTGTTCTGAATGCATTCATCATGTTTCCATTGCAAACTACCAAAAACAAAACATCCCATTAGTTCCTGAATTCAGTCAAATTGAGAGCATATTTTTAGGCATATGCACACATAAATTCCAACTGTTCCAACTGTCTCTTAACATATGTTTAGCAGGAGAAGTGTACTCTGCAGACAGCATCATTAGTGCAATGACAATAAGCAGCACAACAGGAACCATTATAAAGATCAGTAGTTTAACCTGTCCAGGGTTTCTGCACTGCGACAGCTTCTTATGTGGTGGTAATTGACAAACGCATCTCTGTGTACTTCAATCATTTTCTGGGGGCAGACTGTGGTTCACTCACAGGGGCGCTTAAAGGTTAACTGCACTGATGAGTGTCAGGCTGTTGGTAAAATCACTTTTGATGTCAATGGAGGTGGCTGAGTAGGTGTAAGTCTCAGATTCCACTAGGATCCTTAGTTGCTGTGGGATATGAATGCGTCACATTTTTGTTCCTTACTTGAGCAGCCGTCTCTGGACCTCCTCCCAGGCGTCCTGGCGGCTCTCGTCGGTGTACATGCGAAACAGGATGCGCAGGCCACACGCCAGGCTGCTGGTCTCCTGCTTCAACAGGTTGGGCTTCGACTTTCCTTTGAAACCTTAAACACACATAAAGATGCACACAGTTACAGGTACAGTCACAGCCATTGAATTTTTTTCTATTATGACACAACGCAGCCTGAGGTAAAGTGCTAATCACAGTCGAACTTTCTTGCTCTACCTGCTTTCCACAGTAAGGTCCTCTGCTCGTTGTTGGAGTTGAAAGCCTTGGCAAAGCAGTGTGACTCCAGCAGGCAGTCCAGAAGCTTAAAGAGCTGTTCTGAGGTCAGGTAGCGATACATCCCCTGGTCCTGGGTCTCCACTGGGACGTCTGTTGCATACACAGCATCCCTCTTTAAAAAGACAACACATGAGAGATTATTACTGAGTTTAATCACATAGCGCAGAAATACAGAAAAAGACTTCAAGGAGAGGTAGGGTCTAAGACTTCTAAACAAAACCACTGACAACTGGTTCTGTTTCTATTTCAGAGCAACATTCGTACCTGAGCAGCAGCAAAGTTCTCAGCATCTTCCTTCTTACTGGTGGCGGGAAAAAACACGATGTTATCGATAGTCTGGATCAGCTCCAGCTGCACGACACACTTTATCAGCAAAGCAGCAAATAGGCGCTGCTCCTGGACCTCTGTGGAACATACAGGTAAACTTACATCAGAACACATGCACACACAAAAACACTCGCCGTCAGCCTCCGAGTAAAGCGACAGGCTTACTTGCTGGGGTCCTGTTCCTGGAGCCGTCCTCGCACATGCCTGAGGCTAAGCTATACTGACTCTGCCGACGGTTCTCCGTGGCAATCCTATCAGCGCTGCTGATGGAGTGCTGGTCGTCAGAGCGGGACTGAATATCCACTGACTTCTGGGAAATGGAGTCCTAAGAGCAAAGTGGGCATAGTTACTGCAAGCATATGTATACACAGTATTTAACATTATAAGAAGTCAGTATGTGT